TAAGTGAAAGATGATATAGTGAGCATGATCCAAAGGTTCAAAAAGTGGATGTGTTAATGCATGAAGAACCACTGTGATACCCCAATTAGGAACCTAGAAAGGGTAACATGGGTGGATAACCCAGACTGTCAAGTAAGTGATAAGACAGCCATATACAAGACAACAGACAAAGGCCCCAAACCTTTGACAAACAATCATTGCAAAAATTGAGACATGAGACAGTGGGATGTGAAGGGTTAAACCCATGTATGAGAAACCAATGATGAGAAGTAAACCATTGCCTTTCAGAAACTTCCAAAGAATAATGTCTAATGGCATGTGTAAATAAGGACACCACTCAAGATGTCAATCCCTGATGGACTGCATAAATGTCAGGTATGGAGGCAAAGAATGTCGACTACTGGTTGAAAAATGTCCAACCAATGTTGACGTAAGAGAGATGGTCAGGGAAAAGAAAAAGAGGTTGACACTCCCAAAGATAATGAAGGAGTGGAACACAGAGCTGATGCAGTTAATATGGTGCCACCAGAAAAACTCAACAGGACATGGAGTGAATCAGTGCCAGAACTTTGGAGGCAAATGAATTGAAAGGAATGCATAAAGATGAAGACCCATCCAATCCTGACTGAGAGCATTTACTTCCAAAGCCAGAGAGTGAGGTACTGGAGACCAGAAGGATGTGAGCTGAGCATTCTGGTGTGTAGCAAAAGCATTGCTCTGTGGCATTCCTAGACAAGAGCAGATCGAACAAAAAACTTGAGGATGAAGTATACATTCCATAGGAAGAGTTCTGTTGGGACAAGAACTGGTTGGCCATTAAAGTCATTACCCCTAGAATATAACAAGCAAGGATAACAATCTGGTGGTTGTGTGGAGTGAGTGCCCTCTTGATGTAAAATGTACTAGACTACTGTGGAATTCCCCAAATGAAGCAATATCACCTTTCCTCGCAACAATGAGACCCTGAGTCACAGCCCATTGAACTGCTAAAAGTTCTATGAGATTGATGTGGGAAGGAGCTTTCTCTACTGTCCAAAGTCCCTTAAATACCTTATTTATTATACAAGCACCCCAGCCCTGAAGAGAACCCTTTGTGAACATATGTAACCCTGGCCATGGAGGTAGTAGAAGTACACCTAATGTTGTGTTGTCCATGTCCAACCACCAGCTGAAATCCAGCAAACTGAAATCAGATAGTCCTACTAGACAATGCAGCACATCTCGCAAAAGAGATAGAACTGTGTGTGCTGGTGGAGGGGGAGACAACTGTATTTGATGAACTGCCCGTTCCATGGTATGAAGGTGTAGAGGAGAAGGTTGGGTGTGGCTTAGTCTGAGAGTAAGAATAAAATTCTTTTTCTTTTATAAGAAACTCAGCCCTCACAGCTTCTGATAACAGAAGTTGAATGCAGTTCTGCCAAATGGTGGGAAGGGGTGAGAAGAAGCCAGTTGTTCATGTAATGGGGAGTGTGAATGCTGAGAGAGTGAAGATGATGTGAAAAAGCTCTGACTATCAAGCAAAAAACGTATGGAGGAAATGTGAGGCCAAATGGTAGAGCACAAAACTGAAAAACCTGGTTGTCATGCACGAAACTGAGATAACACCTTGAAGACTCAGTAATCGGGATATGAAGGTAATTCTCTGGGTCATCGAATTATGTCATCCATAGTCCAGATGAAAAGAGCCACTGAAGGGAAAAAATGACTCCATTGTAAACAGAGGAGGCTGGAGGAACTAAGTGGAATGAGGAAAACTGATGACCAGTCACCCATCTTTTTGGTACTACAAACAGCTGAGAATAAAAAACCCTCGAGAGAGAGAAGATGACTCACTCTATGGAATCTTGATGCAGAAGATCATGGATGGATTGTGCTGTATGGTAGGATGTAAGAGGGTCCTTGAGGAAAGCCAATTGGTATGAGAGGCAGTGGAGGAGGAGACGTGAACTGAATAACCAATCCACTCTTGAGTACTTGAATGACCCACTGATCTGTAGTGAATGTCTCCCATACTGACACAAACCCTCTGAGATGAGAACCCACAGAACCTGACCCCACAAGGTGGTCACCAATGCCAAAATATGTGCTCCACCCTGGAGGAAGATCCTCCCTGGTAAGGATGGAATCACCTTGTGTTCCAATGGATTGTGGCACCAAAGCAGAAGGTCTGTAGATGCAAACCTGATATTCCGTAAACCATCCTCTAGAAGAACTTTAGGACAGTTGAAAAGCCAGTGAAAAGTGTAGACAGGCCATAACTACTCAACATTCCATGGAGTTTGAAATTCTCAAAAATAGACTGCCAGAGAAAAGGAGTTTCTCTGAGAACTCTAAGGTCTGAAGCACGAAGGCAAACTCAGTAAAGCATCTCTCTCTAAAAGATCCAAGCAACAAACCAACAAAGATACCAGGGAGAGAGCAGATGCCCAAAACCAGATCAAAGTGGACCAAAGGTCCTCTGAAATTTCAGCAGGGGAACTAATATAGGCCTCAATCAAACAACAGTTGCAAGGATAATAAAAACATAGAACTGTTGTAAGTAACAGACCTATTCTGGAGAATTGAGATGAAGTAATATTAATGGTGGCATCTTGCTTATACCCCAAGTAGGAAGTAGAGGTTCAAACATCTGAGAGTCCATATAAAGTATTCCAGGTGATGGAAAGCCAAGGCATGCTGATCTAATAAATGAGGAGGATAAGGCATGGCAGCACCCTCCTTCAATTGATCTGCAAACTCCTTGCATGCATAGAAATGTCTGGCAAAGGTGGAAGGACCAGGTAATCAGACAAACTAGTTTCTCCAAATAAGAAAGGCGACAAGCCATAAGCCACAGGAGAAATACTCAAAATACGACAAAATGGCGTATGAGTTATCTGAGCAAAGGAATGTGCTTGAAAAATAGTCTAAAGTCTCAACAGTCTACCCCTGATCTCCTAAAGCTCAGCCTCAGAGCCAACAGGAGAAAAAACATCAGACCGAGACTCTATCTCTCTGCATATAAGGAACTGTATGTCCCCCGTGGAAGGTGCCACCCCCCCAACGCCCGGATATGTTAGACTCGTGAGGTAGTAGAGGAGGAGCATCAGATGACTTCGTGTCTGAGACGTGAATATGAGTATTCATATTCGAAAAACTTCTAAAAAAAATTCCTTTTTTATGTTTTCATAAAATAAAAAAATAAAGAATAAACTCAAGCCCCATGAGAAAGATCTAAAATAATACAGAATAAAACATTCCAAATGTAGTAATAATGGTGAAGAGAAACTCACAGTAAACACATAAGACCGTCTTTGTATTTTTTGCCATCATGAAAAAGTGAATAAGAAAGGATAATGGGAAGCATATGTATATAAGGGACGGGTATATAACTCGCATTAACATAAGTGGAGAGTCCCACAGTTAAAATCAATATGGGCAATATAGTGGGGTATATATAGACTGAAGCAAGTGAGGTAAAATTCATACCAATTGTTAGATTGGCAAAGAAGAGAAAATTTTGTCAGGATAAATGTGAGAGGGGGTAAGTGTATTTCAGAAGATACTCTACACATTTAGCTATTACGCTCAAATAGTCTGAACGTGCTCTAGAAAACACTAGAGGTCATATCGGTATTTCCATTAAACCAAAAATATCACATGCAAAAAGTAATTTTAAGATTAAAGCAAACTTCTTTCCCACATTTCAGGAAGGGTATCAACTATGGAACTTGAACAGAAGCTTGCATATCTGTTTACAGAGTGAAAGCTACGAACGTTGAACAGTTTCTACTTAATATTTCTAAATACATGTTCCAGTCAAGAAATTTTCTAATTACAATCAAGAAGAAATTAGTATAACTGAGTGCTTTAGCTTTACAAATCGCATAAGATGTTAAGTCTTCTTGAAGTCTACCATCATTAAAATCTTGTGATGCAGAACACTACAGTGTTTTAATCTAAACTTGTAAATGCCAATCTTGACCATGAACTTCTTTGAACCACGAATTACACTTCTCTAAAATTTACACTAAAATTATTAAACTAGCCTTTTCCATAAACACAGTTAATAAAAGTAAATAAAATGTATTAAATAATAACTCAAACCAACTTACTGCCAACTGATCAACCAGAAATTTCAAATCCAAAACATCTGTATAGAAATCAAAATTATAATGCAATCTTCCATATTTCTCTATGATGTCAACCTTAGATAGAACATTCACATGAGGAAGTTCCACTAAATGGGAAAAAAAAATTTTAAATTAAACTTTATTAATTACATATGACCATTACAATTAAACAAGATATTTTGAATTTAAAAATTTAAGCCTAAAGCAATTTAATTTAATTATTTCGTAAACTTGTTTTATATGCAAGTACTGAGCAATTAGTTCAAGGTTTCAGTACAAATATACGCAAAAAGTCATTCAGTTCTTTTCATTATTACTTTTGTGTAAGAGTTTGTGCTGTAATAAATTTCACTTTTTTTAAATTTCCTATCTAAAAACAAATTGTTTAAACAAATGTAACTTTCTGATTGTCATTCACTTAAAATTTGCCTGGTTGTCAGCTATTAAATTTAATATTTGAGCATATAGTATATAAAATTTAATAAAATACCAGTGACAATCTCATAAACTGGATAAAATGTTTTATGCTACCAATAAAACAGCATAAAAAGGTATTTCAAATATTTCGTAGTCTGAAATGCTTTAAATTTCAGTAAATTACATTTATGCATTGATTCAGTTGAAAATACAACAGATAGTTATGTCTATCATTCAATAAATATCATAACATAATTTCCAGCAACTACATAATATAAATAAATATACTATTTGTTATGATCGATAAACAGATCAATCAAGTTGTTGTCAACCAAGTAAACCTCAAAATTCAAGTCTTTGTTCATTAAACATCCAAAACTAAATACTAAATAAAATCCATATTTTTAATCCCACACTGTGTGATGAGGGTTAATTTCTTTAAAAAACATTTAGCCTCAGTACTTTCGAGAACAATATTACTTGCAGGTCATCATAAGTCATTTTAACTAGCTTTTTTACTTTCACGTAATTTATGGATTCTTCAGTCCACATACACAAGTTTAAAGACATCTTATAATTGAAATGAATGTAAAAAAACAAATAAAAGTTTACTCAACTTCTATAGATTCACACCCTAAACTCCAATAAATGTAAAAACAACTGTAAGAAAGCACTTTCTTTTAAGTACACTATATTTATCAACTTGAAGGAAGTAAATTTTGTAAAACATGAGTTTATCATAGAATTTACCAAAAGGTTAAATTGTTTGTTTGTAAACATTGTTTCATTTTACTGTTAGTTATTCAGGAAAAGCAATGAATAAATTAGTAATTTAATAGTGATACAAAATTCTTCAAAACAGAATAAAATTGTCAAAATAAGTTTACAACAAAACTCAACACAAATATGTCAATGATTTAGTGATAGAAATGAAATTTAAAAATCATTCTGATCTTTGCTTTGAAGTAGTCAGAAGTTGAGATTTTGAAATTTCTAAAACTGAACATGTAACCTTTCTTTTTAAAACTATAAATTATATACATATGATAACATCCAGGTTTAATGTTTATAAGACAATTATCCAGCTAATTCTTTTAATGATAAAAGAGGAAATTATTTGCCAAATACAAACTTATCTAAAACCTACAACTACATGATGTGTTTAATCATATACATGTAATGCACTAGTAAACCAAAAGTTATAATTTTCTCACAATGAAAATGTATTTCTGACAGATACTTACTTCCACTCATATACATAGCTATTGTCGTTCAGTGCTGCCCTCTATTTGCAAAAATGTTTTCACATGCCACAAGCCTTTCAGTCCTATGCACCCCTCGATTTACATGGTTTAACTGGTTCTTGCGTGCAAATTATCATGCAACAAACCACCACCAATAGTACGTGGGAAGCGGTGGAGAATCCGGGGAATGTTCACACCAGAAACAGTGCAATGGGTTACCACAAAATCTTATTCAACTTATTCAATCTGAGGAATAGCAGGGATGGGCAACAATCCCCTTCTGCTCTACCCATGAAGTCCATGGGTTATTACTGACCAAAACAGGCATATTTATGAAGCAAATACATCACGAGGAATAACCTACAAGCAATTTGTGGAGCACACCATCTCTAGCTTATGTGATTGTGATGAATAATGTGCATTTTGTGGCCGTGAAAGTTATGAAGGTGAAGTCAACATGGTCTTACAGTGCGGGATTTAGTACAATTCTAAGTGACTGAAATATACCTAAACAGACACCACTCACCACAGAGTGGGATCATGGTCAAAACATGGGACAGGCCCCTGAAAAATATGTATAACAAAAGAAAGAAAACTTACCACAGTTACAGTCTCACTGAAGAGTGAAGGATGGCTACATATGGTACAAGGTACTCCAACAAGGAAGAAACAGCTACCCAAAGCAGATAATGGAAGATAAATGTATAAGGTGTAATCTCAGTGCTCAACAGATCCAATGGATAACGGGGCTGAGATGCAGGGAAAAGGTAAGGTGCCTGAAAGGATTATGAGAAGAAGGAGACAAGAAATAAAAGGCCAACTGAATCACAAAGCAAACCCAATGGGTAAGGGAGGAAGGGAAAAAGATCATCCAGATCCGACCTAGAATAAAGGTCGAAGATGGCAGGAACAAAAATGACGAAACGAATATTCCATATGAGCTCCCCAAAAGTGTAGGTTAGTAAAATTTATTCAGAACAAAAAGAACATATCAAGTCAAAACACCCAAGAAAACCAAATCTATGCTGGCCAGGAAAGATCAATTAGAAAGATCTGACCCGGAGTGACATGGATGATCAAAATCACCTTGGGAAGAAGACTGATGGTATGAGAAAAACTAAAACAAGATCTAATCTTATTTGAATGTATAGACAGCCAGGATGAGTGGATGATGAACCAGAGACCAAAAACAATAGAGGTAACTTGGAATCGAGAAAGGAGTCAAACGTTTCCTGTGGAGGAGTATCTCACAGGAGGCACAGCCACCAAATATTTGAAGATTGAGAGGCCACCCCTTCGACAAAAGCACCTGGAACACAACACGCCAGGAGATGTATGTCTACCACAAAGGAAACAAGAACAAGTACCCAATTGGTGAATGATATAAGCCACCACCATTGAATAGTCAGAATGAAACATGTTTAGTCAAATCCAGACAAGAGGAAGTCTTTTTAAACACCCACTTCAGTCGGGACCATCCATTCTCCTCATATGCATTCAATGTAGCTTTCTGTTATTCACACCATTACGGTTCACTATCTTACAGCTAGCAAGGTACTAACATATTGGGGGATGTGGCTTTTATGGTAGCACTTCTTCCTTTGGGTCTAGCACACTTGTGATCTTTTCAGGAGATGTTGCATGACCCATGGCTTTTTACTAGCATTCCTTTGGATTCTCCTCTTATCTTTCCTCCTTCCCTCTTTGACAATATGCATTGGTGGTTGAACATATCCCCCATCTTGTCAGGTTTATCGATTTATCCTCCTTGTCTGGATTTGTTTCTCTTCCCTAATGCTCATCTCCTAAGTTGTAAGTTGGGGGCATGGGTCGATCAGCAGGAGGCTTCAGAACAATGGTCTATGGGCAAAAGGTCTTACAATGTTAACAACCAACAGTTCAACCTGCTTTAGTTCACATTCTCTCCAAATAGCCGAGATTGTTAGGTAGGTAATAGGAAAAACTTATCCAACTGGAAAATCCAACCACCTGAGCAGCTTGTGTAAGAAGCAGATGAGTATGTTATGACCATCCCTGTTCAAAAGGAGCTAACCAAAGCTAGACATCCAAATAGTGGCATTAGTAAAATCCTCGAAAATGCAGAAGTCAGGTAAAATTCAGGCCACCTGACAAAAGACATACAGAACCAAAACAAGTCCAAGTAGCATAAAACTGGTACCAAATCATGTGGTGAAAAAAGACAACTAAGATAGCATCCCAAGAAATGAAAAATAAGAACGTGTACTATGGGCATTCTCAGTCCTACAGAAATTACCCACCCAATTATGATGAAAGACTACATGTTAAAACGGAGAAGAACCAAGAAGTATTGTGGTGGGACCAATCATTCCAGAACTCCAGTCAGCATCAAGCATACATGACAAATGGAGAAACCCATAGGTAGTACAGGCAAAGGGCAGGAAGGTGCTGGACATGAAATATGAATAAAGGTGGCAATGACTCAGAATGCAACAAAAGAACAACCAAAAAAAACGGAATATAGCATCACAGATACCCCACGTGATGCTAAATGCACACGAGTAGCTCAGAAAACATACAAGTGAAGGAAAAGAGCCAACCATGTGTCCCTATTTGAAGTGGATGGTAAACAAATGGTGTCCTACTCTAGAAGATCCCAAGAAGGAGAGTTATACCATGAAAATCCCTAGATATAGGTGGAATGCCTAAGAAAGGTAGTGTAAGGCAAACAATTCCCATAGGAGAGTCAACAGGGTAAGATGTAGCTGGAAAACTAGATGAGGGATAAAATGGAGAGGATTAACAGGCATTGCACTCCATACAGGTGACAGATTCTGAGCACATAGAAACAAGAAGAAAATCTGCCTGATGGTAAGCTATAGCAAATTGAACCAAAGCCTATGGAGTGCAAAGCATGCAAGTACCTCACCCAAAACGGAGACAAAAATGCTCATCATGAAACAATGTCTGGAGAAGGAGGAAAAAATTATACTGTGAAACATGTCTAAAAAAGGCTGAAACAGACCTAGCAGATTACACAGTAGAGGCCTGGAAAGGCAAGCCATAATCATGTGGAGGAAAACAGACAAAATCTAGGTCGTCCTAAATGGGTTCAGTATTTGTAGGAGGAAGACAAGCAATATTGGAAGAAGGTAGGGCAGACCCCAGTATAAAGAATACAAAATGCTCCATACAATGTAAATTTAAGTATGTGTGTAGTAAACTAGAAATATGTACAAGATGTTACATGTTGAAGAAAACAAAATATATATAACCTAATTATTGATTTACCTGTAAGATGAACTACAGGTAAACCAAAAATAACACACTTGTTAAGCCTAATTGAACTGTGCAGGACAAAGTATATCATTAAGCACTAATTTTAAAACCCTAACCTAACAATATCAGGATAAGGAGTTTGTGAAGACCCTAGCTCCAGGAATATAAAGGGTAAATAATAAATAAAATGAAATAGATGTTATATTGTAAAATTAAGTAAGTGTGTATGGACAATAACATATGTATGAGAAGGGACTTTTTGAAGAAAAAAACAATATAGTTAACCTAATTTAAAATATACCAGTAAGATGAATTACAGACAATCCTAAAATAACAAAGATCCATGTTAAGCCTAATCTAACATTATACAACAAAGAATACAACTAAGCACTAATTTCAAACCTGAACTTGACTATGAGTATTGACCAATCTAACTAAGCTTATGTTATTGAACCCAAATAATTACAGATAATAATATCAACAATAAAAATATTCATAAACCATAAGAGTATAACACCTTATCTTTCCAAAGTCAGCAGACCATATATCAAAATATGTGGGCCTGACAAATGACAGCTCATTGAACAATCAATCTTCCAAAAAAGTAAAGACAATAATTCCACAGTTGAAGATCGTCATCTGAAGCCTGTTTTAATGTGCTGATAGAAGATGTAACCTCCAAAGTGGTAACTTAAATTCAGAATTCATAATTCAAAATGAATAACAAAACATAACTGTGTTGGCAGAAAGAAATAAAAAGTAGAAAAAAATTTGTACTGAAGTATTAAGTTTTGTAACTGGGAAGAAATATAAAATAATTCCACTTTGGAATAAGTTCCAAATATCACTACTGTATAATAAATAGTAAACTTTCTGAGAGAAATTAATACCAACATATGAAAAAAAAACTTGAAGAAAGTACAAATTTAACACCTAAACACGAGCATCGCTAAACGAGGTAGAATAGCACATAGGGAGTCACATGAGTCGTGTGGATGGGTGGGTGTGGAGGTTTCTCACATGATAATTTGCACGTAAGAATCAGTTAAACAATGAGAATCAAGGTGTGCATGGGAGTGAAATGTGTGTCACATGCAAAAAACTTTTTTGTAAATAGCAGGCAGCACTGAATAAGAATAGCTATGTATGTGAGCAGAAGTAACATACCTTGTCAGAAATTTAACTTTTCTTCTCTAAGCTTGAAAAATTTCATTTCATAGATTTCATTACTGCATTCATAGTCAATTGCAAACAATATATAAGCACTAATGGATATTACTACATTAAGGTTCAAATTCTGAGCTAGTAACAAAATTCACATCTTTCACACCACTACGCCCACATAAGAAAGTAAGGTAATACATCCAATATTACATACATCTACTTCAATTACACTTCAATAACATTTTGCTACTCAATTTTTTTTAAAACTGCAAATGGGTATTACATAACTCAAAATAATGAAGTTTCCACTTGATGGGTGATTACCGTTCAAACAATGTCAAATGGTTTCTGTTAAGAAAATATGAAATAAATAAATGTAACACAGCTTGAATGCCACCTCATGAATATTTGAATGTTTAGAACTATTTCCAAATCCCTGGAACCTTTAAACCTCTGAACACAACCCTAAGCTCCATGCACTATCAATAACATGATTCTTGCCATTCATGGTCCTGTTCAGTAGCTTGTAGCGTCCAGCCTACTTCATGTATAAAGTATTCAAGAACTTCTGCATACACAATGACTGTGCTGCTCGTATTCTCTGATCATGAGAGCTATAATTTTCCTTTAGAAAAAATTTATATCCAATAGGTACTTACCTCCTCTCAAATAAATAGCTATTCTCATTCAGTGCCGCCTACTATATGCAAATAAATGTTTTTGCATGCTACAAGCCTTGAGCTCTCATGTACCTTACAATGAAAGAGGATCATATCATTGTCACCTCAAGTTCAGCAGAAAAGAGGGAATCTTAAACCCATCATTCCGTGAACAGGGCACATGATAGTAATGTGTTTGACCAATACAGGTACCTGATATCTGGATAATCGGTATAAGAAAGACGTCTCGGTAATGAGAACTAAGTCACTCAAAACCACCCAACAGGAACCGCCTCCAGTGCAATAACATCCTCAGGATATGAAAATATCAAGGGATAGCATAAGAGGAAGAACCATATGAATTGACACCTATAAGACATTATGTGAGGACATATGTTGATTTGTTCAGCTCTAAATACAAAACCTGCCTTGCCCTCCACAGGCTTCGGATTAGTTTGCCTTGACCTACCATCAGGCTGAATATCCGTTTCTTGATTCCCAACATTTAGAATCGATTCTGCCTCTGTGGGGGGTGGACCCTGATCATCCTGTTTGTTTATCCCTTGCCCAATTTTCATCTTACCCTACTGACTCTCCTACAGTACTTGTCTACCATCCACCTTCTTTCCACAGTGATCCACAAAGATCCTGAAGGTTTCTCAAGGGATAAACTCTCCCTCATTACCTCCTCGTTGGGACGTTTGTCTTGTTCGGCTCAATACTTATACACATGGTTTCTCTGTTGTTGGGATCTCCTGGGGAGGGATGCTGCTTTGTCCCTAGTTCATTTACTGCCTACATATCTATGGGACTTATATATGGCCACCATTTGTACAGCGGTATGTTTTTGGTAATAATCCTGAGACTTTGGAATCCTGTGTGGAGTAGGTATGAAAGCAAACTACCCTTTCTTCTTTGGTGACTTGTTTATCTCATTCAGAGCCTAAACATGCCCCTATTACTGTTTCCCATCCAACTCTTTGGTGATTGAATAAGTCACCACTGTAGAATTGTCGAAATGGATCATGACCAGAAGATTCCTGGAAAGATAAAGAAAATTATCCAAAGCATGGCATATAGCCAGAAGCTCCAGGATGTTGACATGGTACGATATTTTGGCCAGAGACCACCAACCTGAATGATCAACCCTGAAGGGAAGCGTCTGTGAAGATATGCAAATCTGGATGTGGGGGGGGAAGCAGAATACTCATTGACATGTGAGCCTTGTCCAACCACTAATGCAGGTCACCTACAAGGGAAGGAAAAAAGGAAATACGAGCCTCAATGGATCCCACGCTAGATTAAATTGGATGTGCAGTGCCCACTGAAAATACTTTGTATACACTGAACCCATGGGGATAAGGGCTTCCATGGAAGTCCATATCCCCCATAAATGATAAAACCTTGAAAGCAGTAAGGGTAGAAATCAAAGAGGAGAAAGTTGGGCCCAACTGAAATGAGTATTGAAAAAGACACCCAAACGGACAAGATATTGGGTAGGTATAAATAATGACTTCTCTAATTTGGTTAACTAACCTACACGAGCTGCCTCCAGGAGCAGCAGAAGAGTGTATGGGTGAACTCCTGTTTGAAACAAGCTAACAGAAGCCAGTCATGTGTAAGGATAGAGCCAAAAAAGACAAACGTGCCAATCTGGAGGTAATGAGGGAGAGTCTATCCCTTGAAAAACCCTCAGGATATTTGTGGATCACCTTGGCAAAAAGGTGGATGGGGTAGACAAGTACTGTAGGAGAGTGAATAGGGTAAGATGAAAATTGGGCATGGGATAAACAAACAGGATGATCAGGGTCCATCCCAACAAGAGCAAAATCGATACTAACTGTTGAGAATCAAGAAACGGATATTCAGCCTGAAGGTAATTAAACTGATCCAAAGCTCGTGGAGGGCAAGGCATGCTGGCACCATCAACCATCTGAGAAACAAAACACTCAGCATGAACCCTAATATCCAGGGAAGGGGGGGAATACCAAATACTGAGATGAGGAGGTATTATGTAACAAAAAAAGGATGGTGATCATACATAATTGGGGAAATGGATAAAACAAAACATACCTGAAATCATGTCTAAAAAAGCCGTATTACGCCTAGCTGATTCCGCAGTAGGAGCATAAATAGACACAGCAAAATCAGGTGGAGGAAAAATCCTTGTCGACCTGAACAGGCTCATCAACTAATTGTGTTTGATTTTTAATTTTTACACAATGTATTCTGAAGTTCAGCCTACCATTTTGGAGATAATACCTTCTACTAGCACACTCACACGGGCTACAGGTGGGGTGACTCATCTTTGGACTTATAGGCTATCATCCGCCATGAGATTGATCGTTATATGAGTCAACCTGCTTCTCCTGATCTTGCACATATTCCTCCTGAACATGCCAAAAAAAAAAAAAACAGCAAAATAAGTTATCTGCAAAGTTGTTAACTGTTGAAAAACAAAGAAAAAAATCGCAAAGTTGAACAAAGAAAACACAACTGAAGAAAAGAGCACTACAAAATTGTCTTGACACGAATACTACCAAAGGAGAAGTGATAGTTCAGTAGAATCGAATAGAGAGAATCACATGCATCAGGAGACTATGTCACACTGTTATTAGTGGAGCGTTGTCGCATGATGACTTACATGTGAGACACAGTTGAAGGAGAATAGAAATTTATGTGAGAGGAGGTAATGTACCATATCTCAAATTAGATTATTAGTGCCCTTTTGCACATCACACAATCATTGAATAAAAACAAAAATATCAGTTGACTTGCCTGATGTCAAATAGATTGAAAGTACTTGAAATTTTCCAACTGCAACAGTTATTTTCCATAATGTAACATTCAACACAGATAAAGATGAATATATATATATATATATATATATATTGCAGCTATTAATAGACAAATGTAACTCAAAGAAATACTTGTCTAAAATTTTACCTAAAAACAAAATTGGGGGCTGACCCTCATAATATGCATTCCTTAGTATATCTTCAACAAAACACTACATATATAGTAATGTTACAAATATAACAGATAAAACATGAAACATGCTTTCCCAACATGTGTGTATTTTAAGTATTTTTTCCAAAAATTGTTATTTTACTGTTTAAGCTACGCTAACATCAAGTATATACCCAATTACTATAATACGTACTCCAAAGCATCGTGGAAAGGGATGTAAGTGCTACAGCTATGAACTTCCCAGGATCATTGCAATAATGAGAGTCAACTAGATGAACAGCAGTCAGTTGTAAGTCAGCCTCCTGCAACTTTTTTACGATGTTTTGAATGGAACGGTGATGAGTGTAGAGCTCAACCTAGTAATAAAATAAGCAGATACTGCAAAAACATAAATTACAATAATAAAGTAAGCAACAATTTTAATACTGATTTTTCAGGTTAATAATATTTTTTGCAGACAGCTTTAATGAAAAACAAATCACAATAATTTTGTAAAAAATGAGAAACATTTTGTTGTGCTATAGAAATCACAAGATTGATTACTATGTAAATAATAAAGTGAATAAACACAAAAAAACAAGTTAATTATTTATGTAGAAACAAACACAATGTTCACATCAACAATTTAATGTACTTTTAAATGTGTTTCTTAAAGCTTTATTTTCAATTTTGCATTGCTGACAATTACACATAGAATGATATTGCATTTCAAATCCCAAATAAACTACCTTGCTAACAAAACCAATCATTAATATCCTGATATACTGTAGCATATTTAAAAATGGATAATTTTAGCTTAGAATGTACACTAACAGGTAACAAAAACCTAAAACTTGAAATAAAACTCACACTAACTACAGATGAGTTTTTCCCACATTCCTCTTTGTTCATTCTAGATTCAAAATTATAGACGTAAAAAATGCAATTCAGACCTATCATTTGACTCCCACAAGTCACTGCCTAAGAGGCCTTTCATATAATACCATAAGATGTCAGTTAGACTGAATGTTTTTAGTTTTTAAACTAACTTTTGCATAATTATACTGCATATATAAATTGTGTTTCAGAGAATCTTTTGTCTCTCTTTGTCCAACCCATCAGAGTTTTGGTACTGAATAAAAGGCATCTTGGGCAGTGACTTATGGGAGACAAAAGACAAACTGAATAACTATTTTTCATGCCTCTGATTTTGATTCCAAAGTGGACAAATTAAGAGGAACGTAAAAAAAAAAATAACATTAAAGGGCAAAAATGGGCTTTTTGGTCCTATCCATTAAATTAAACTAAACACTAAAAAACTCAGCCATTATTCAAATATTTAAGCTTTTCCTTAACCTCCCATAAATTAACTCCAACTACCATTTCTGAAGACAACCCATTCCAAATGCCAACCACCCTGTTAGAAAAATAAACTTGTCTTAGCTGAAGATGACTTCTTCCCTGCCAAAATTTATACTTGTGTCCTTAGCCTTACCAGCCTCATCATTAAATGTAAAAAAGATGATGCATCAACACTATCAATTCCCTTAACTATCTTAAACACCTGAAACAGATCCCCTCTAACTCTTCTTGTTTCATGAGAAAACAACTTCAGAGATCATAACCTTTCCTAATATGACAATCTTTCCATCCCAGGTATCATCCTCGTAGCTCTCCTCTGAACCCTTTCCAACAATTCAATGTCCCTTCTAAGGTATGGAGCCAAAGACCGAATACAGCACTCCAAATAAGGCACAATCAATGACCTATACAATGATATTATGACTATGATCTCATTAGAGTTGTATTCATATTTCTGTAGATACAACCTAAAATCCTATTTGCTCTGCCACATTACTTAGATGGCTTAAAAGATTGATTAATCAAAACACCAAAATATTTTTCTTCCATAACATCATTAAGATATTCCCATCAAAATTATACTCATAATTCAAATTGTGATACCTCACATGCATTATCTTGCATTTATTATAATTAAAAGTCATCTGCCATTTATTTATCCAACTCACTAAACAATCCAAATCCTTTTGTATAGCAGCATCCTCCTCATATCTAGCAACACCCAAGACCTTAATATCATTAGCAAATTTCAATAATCAATTGACCATTCCTTTATATATGTCACATAACACTGAGCCCTGAGTTACCACACTCATGACATGAATTCAGTTTGACTGAACTCCATTTATAACAATTCTCTGTCTTATTCCATCTGGACAGTTTTCTATCTAATGAGGAAATTTATTCCCCACATCTACAAATATAACTTTGTAACAAGATTTTTACATGGTATCTTTCTGAAAATCTATATGCATTAAATACATATTTGTACCCTCATATACGTAAGCAGTAACCTCTTCAAAGAATGTAAGAAGATTAGGAAAGATTTTCCCCAAGTGAAACCATGCTGGCTATCAAACACAATTTTAAGTTTTGTTAAATATCTTTACAAAGCATCATAAACAGTCTTTCAAAAACTTGTCCCACCACTAATGTAAAACTAACAGGCCTATTATTACAGAGACAATTTTTAACATCTCCCTTGAAAAGAGTAGTACGTTAACCAGATTTCTACTCTTCTAATGCCTGCCCACTATTCAAGGACTTGCAAAAAATAGTAGCAAGTGAATCACATATCCAATCCTTAAAATCTTTAAAAACCCTTAGGTAAATATTATCTAGCCCAAGAGCTTTATCATTTTTTTAATTTCTCAATTACTTTCTTAACAAGCTCAAAATTAATATGATCATCTTGTTCAATCTTGTTTCCTTCATGCAGTATATATATATATATATATATATACACTAACCCAAACCATAAGAAAAAAACAGTGTCATATTTCAAGCAACTGGAACTACAAATAGGAAGTTAGCATTCAGCTTAAACCAGACAAACTCCCAAAATTATTGTAGGAAAAAGAAATTTAACAAACAGAACCTGGCATTATGGGGTCATGTTGTTGCCTCAACTCAACCATAAGAACAGAGCAATACCTGTAACTGGTATTAAAAGCAGAAATCATAACTCATACAACTATAAATGCAGGGAAAACACATCCTGCATTTGCTCAACCATAAAAACAGTGTACGTACGTCCTGTTGCCAGTATTACGAGGCAGCTGAAGTCCCTCAAACTCAACCACAGAATCAGAGAAGGAAACCTCCTGCATCCAAAATTAACAAGAAGGTGCTTCTCTATTGTACTTAACTGTGGGAACAGGTCAGTGTCATCCTGAACCCAGTATTATGAGGAGGATCACATGTAGGCTGGTCCTGCTCGAACCAAACAGTCAGCCCACCTGGGAACAAGCATCCGGGGAAAGGGGAGGAGAGAACCTAGCTTTGCCCTCTACTCACTGAGTGGAGAAATGTGTGGTTGTATTGCAAGGTAACTTTCTACTTCCCAATCAGGAGGACTCCCATGTTCCACCTGGAGAAAAGAAAGGGACGAGTAAATGCAGTGGGGAGTCCAGAGGAACATCACACTGGAGAAAGTACAATGGGTGTCCACAATTCCCTATTTTGAAAAGCAGATCATTCTCAATTTATACAAACAAAAGGTCAGTAGGGATGGGCAGAAATCCCCTTTCGCTTTACTCATAATAGTCCACGAGTGACAGTCCATCGCCGAGTTAAACTTATGGATACCTAGAGATGCATAAGTATATACCATTAGGAATGCCACTAGTGTTCTCGACAGTGAGTGTTATAACTCTACCGCTATACAGTACAGGTTGAGTAAAAGCACACCTGACCAGGTAACACTCACCACAGAGTAGTATCCTATCAGTAGCAGTAAAAGAGGGTCCCTGAAAAAAAACATAAATGTTGTAAAAAAGACCCAAGTCAAAGGTGAACAGACATGTGTAGAATTACTAAGGGAGGGAGGGAGGCAATATCCACCTGGGAAAGATACAGCCAGATAGTGCAGATAATGAGCAGCAGAGGAATAGGAAGTAGTCCACATTCTGGCTTCAACAATTTCTTCCAACGGATGGCAAAGAAAAGCAACCAAAGACTTGGTGATATGACAAATTTGATGATAAAAAACATTAAGAAGATGGCAACCTTCCATGGATAAGTCTGAATATACCAGCATAAGGAGTTGATGAACCCAACCAGTTAGCGTTACAGTGGATAGACCACATAAAACAAAGGTTCCAGGGAATAAAATGTCTGGAACGTGAACATCGAAAGGAGGCAGTACATGTAAAGAGAAAACCTAACGAAGAATTGATTGGGATCAGAATGGAAGTGAAGGCGGGAGATGGAAGGCAAACAAATGGGTGTGAAAGCCAAATGGCCATCCTAAGTAACAGAGGTCTTGGAAGGAAGGACCAGGCCTGATGTATGATGACATCTTACTATAATGGATGTAGCATAAATGTCAGTATTGATGTATGAAACCAAATCTCCTGCACCATCTATTGAATGGCACCACTAACAAAAATCAATAAAATAATTTCCACTTTGGGTATTCAAGACAATTACAAAATAACTGTGGTATATGCAACAACCATTTCTTTATAACAGAACACAATTTTAAATAAAAGTATTCTCTTCCCAAAAAGAACACGACTTTCACCAAGACTGTATGTGAGGATTTAATTATATCTTTATTGATGTGATTTTTAAACATAGTACTGAGAAACTGGAGTTCTTAACAAAAAACTATTAATGGGTACCACTTTTAATATATAAAATATTTACAGTTTATATCAGTAAAGTTTATGAAAATTCTGAGCTCTGTACATTGAATCATTTTAATTCAAAAAGTTGCATATGACTAAAGAGCACAATACAAATACTTGTCCTGTGTAGGTCACTTTTTCTAAATTTTTTCAATGACGTATTAAGAGGAATGGTAAAGGATTCTAATAAAATTAACTTTCTTCACATGGACTCTAAATTGACTAACCACGTGACCAGTTTGTACTCATTATAATTTTGATACTATTAACTTTTAACTAATGTAGTGTGTGTATCTAAACAAAATTTAGCAGACTTTCAGTAAACATTACAAGTCTTTTACCTACAAAAATCAGATTCTTTAGTGAAGTATTTTTAATAAAGATTTATCTGTGAATATATGCACATATATCTAGTCTTTTTTTTATAATAGTCCGTGTGTAAAGTGATTTTTATGTTAAGATTAAAAGTACTTTTCTTCATCTTAAAAATCTCAAATGTTATTTGGGTAATTTCTCTAACCTCCTGAATATATTTCAAACGTTTTTTTCAGCAAAACTTTATATTTTATCTGTTATTTTCTCTACCCTAACTCTATACAAGGTTCGTTAATTTGACCTATCTTGTAACCAACAAAAAAAAAAATCAAATTGAAAAAAAATCTAAATTACCCTTTTTTTCTTTCTATAATGACTTCAAGTTGTAACATGAATCTACATTTGTTTATTCTAAGTAGCATTAAACTTGTACCAGTATACATCTATTTATACTTAACTTTTATTGTTTTATTGCCCTTTGAACTGTGTCTAACTACTATTCATGTCATTATAAGTTTTAACCTGGGAATGTATGGCTCATGTGATGCTACCAAATTACCCGTAAGCTACTCTGAGCTACTACTCGCATGTGTCCCTCATGATAATTTTTTTATATATTATTACTATTTATTTTAACTTATCTAACCTTAACTAATATTTTCCTATTTTTACAATTTAGTTACTTTTATAATAACAAATAAAGAATGCATACAAAAAAACAAGAAATAAAGTACTTACCTAGGTCTTTCTTTTTTGCTGTCAACTGTCAATGACACTTAACCCTATTTTTTTATACTAATGGTACTATTGCACTAAATTTTATTTGATTAAATAATGCATCAAAGAATATAGAGTAATAATATGCAAAAAGAGAACACTGTCTCA